AAGCTTGGCATCAATGAATGGATGGTGAGACGTTGGAGAAGGCAGTGTGAAGAACTGACTCAATCCAAAAAGACGACAAAAGCTGTGCAACATCTTTCTGTGTAAATATCTCATGTTACAACGTGGACACCTGCAGCTTATAGACAAGTACGGCCTATATATGTACAATTTTTTTTTTTTCCTTCTTAAATTTAGTGGGCGCGGTTTATAGTCAGGTGCGCTTAATAGTCCGGATTTTACGGTACCTTGGAAACATGGACTTTTGGGGACAGGAACCAAAACTTGAAAATGTTCATGAAAATTTCAAAAGGGGCTTTAAAATAATCTTTCTGCAGCTTGATTTTATTCACAAGTAGACTTGTTGCTTTTCTGCAGGACATGTTGCACAATACTGTGTTGTCCTTACCTAGAAATTTCAGTCATCAGCTGTCCTGATGGTCCCCAGGGGTCATCATTGGTGGCCTCTCTGACTTTAGATTCCACCTCTGAGTAGTTCATCACCACATTGGTTCTAAACAGTGGAATAAAAAAAAACAAAAATCACTTTACAAATTATGCCTTAAATATTCTACACAGCATTTGTCATTTCAGTTCAAATTATGTATGTGGCCTCCACCGAGTCCATTAACATGGGTAACAGCAGATGAAATGTACTCTCATTGCAGCCACACCCATTCACTTCTATTTAGAGACAAAAAGGACAATAGGGAGTGCTTGTGTGTGTTCTGAATCTAACCACTCATAAAAAACCAAAAACAAGGGACTAAACAAGCAAAATGCAAATCTGTGACGAATATAAACACGAGGCTTCACACACCACTGAGTAAAACAGGACAGCCCCTGCCTGTTGAAATTCTGAAACTAACTACAAAAGAAATTCAAATGTGAAGAAACTGACACTACAAAATAGTAGCTCTCAAATAATCTCAGTTTGATAGTTTTGTAGCTCGTGTCTATATTCCACAAGGTGTATGTTCAAAAGTGCAGTATGAACACTGAACTGTATGAACCATGTATGTATAAGGTGAGTTTGGCAGCCAAGGAAAATATTTAGAATCTTGATGGCTGATTAGAGAACAAACTAAGGAAAACCAAGAAATGGTCTTCATCTGTTCATTCACATAACACCGCCAGATGCAGTTTGTTACTAAGTTGACAATACGCCTTCATATGCTGTCACAACCAGCACTTCTAAGACACAAAACTAACCTCCTTCTAATATTCAGTTTGTACAAGTTATGCCCCAGAGGTGTTAAGAAGAATACAGGATTTTCCAAGCAGAGAACATTCTAGAAAAAAGAATGTGTGACAATGTCTGTTTACATCAACTAATGTATGTTCCTGGGCAAGAAAGTAGAAGAAATTCTAGATCTCAACTGGACCAAACTGGTTTGTGCAACGACATTTAATAAACATGTTATCTGATATCTATTCATCAATGACTGGATAAACTGGTTATTTAGACTAATCCTACAAAGTCTGCATGGGGAGCACTTTCAGTGCCTTGCCCTATGAGTATGTGTAGCATGTAGCTATTTTTCCATGACCAGTGGCATCTGTGCAATGTCATTCTTTGTCTATTAACTTGAAGACAAATGGTTTCTTACAGAAGTATAATCTGTTCTTACTGTTAGTGAATCCTGTCATCGCTTTAGCCAAAACCGAACCTGCACCTCCTTGTCCTTCCCTCCTTATTGTCACATCAGCAAGAAAATGTGCATGCCCTGAAAGAGCAGTGCTGATTTGAGGGCAAAGCAAACAGCAGTACAACCCTCTTTGTGGTCCTGAAGAAAAGCTCCATTACTGACACAAGTTGCGGGGTACAGCAAAATTTGGTCTATGCGAACAAAAGTGAAATTTACCACGCCAGGCACGTTTTCACAACATACTAAAATTAGCCTGCGAGCTGGATTATAGTTCATTGCAACTTTACATGATGGGACATACCAGACAGACATCAAGCCTTGTCCCGTGCCAGACTGAAATCTTACGGGAATGTTTTTTTTCATACCACAATCAGTTCAGCCCTGGAAAAGAGTTAAGATGTGTTTTTGAAAGTGGCCATCGGGTTTTAGTTTAGGATTCAGATTTTCATGTAGTTCTGAAAGGTCTTACTTTGTGTGCCATCTTCCTCTAGCTATGTTAGGGACATTGCACAATATGTGCGTGAATAACAGCAAAACACAAAAGGACATGATACAGTGATGCAACATCTTATCGCTTCACAGCAGTTGCCCCTGAACTAGATATCAGCCAAATAATACGGAAGTTATAATCCTCACTCACAGTGACACATTATCACACAGCTTTCTGTTAGACTGCATTGGTCAAAACATTTCCCTTGCAGTGCACATCATGAATTTAATTGAATACTATTGTTCATATAATGCTTTCATTCATTGCAAAACCTATTTAAAACAGCATGAAACATTCTCTTGAATGCCTTGCCTCAGCAAAAACCTCAGGTTAATCATGCAACAGGAAATGCTGCAATATGCCACACCGTCAGTGTAGATGACTCACAGTTCTGTCACACTCATTAAAATTATTTTTACATTGTGGCAACAAAAAAGTGACCATTTCTGAATGTCTCAAAACACATGCTCTTTTATTATATAACAAGCTCAAAGACACCAAGAGAAAACTAAACATGGAAACTCCCTTCCTTTTAGGCTTTGAAATTCACAGGTTTCCATTTAAACTTCTCTCTCTGTGTGTGTGTGTGTGTGTGTGTGTCTCCCCCTCTCATTCAAGTAACCCATGTTCCAGGGGTTCACACTCCAAGGAGACAAGTGTATTCAGCAAGAATGCATTCTTGGATAGATTTAAGAACATGCTATTGTCTGGGTCTACAAAATTGGCCATTAAACCTTTAAAGGGGAAAACTGTGCAGTACCTTACCACAGTGCTACCATAAAGGACAACTCACATGTTGTCAACAACTAAAACTAAACCAAAGTCCAAAGCAAAACAAAACGCACACAATCCCCTGGGTGCTGTCTGGTAGATCATTTCAGATATAAATCATTGCTGCTGGCTATGCAGGCCTGACCTAACACAGCTACCCAGACAATGGACATGAGTGAGTACCAAGAACACTTGACATTTACATTTGATATACTGTCCCTGTCTTCACATTTACGCCACTATCTCCAACTGAAATTAAACACCATTTAGTCCAACTACGGTAGAAAAATAAACGGCACCGGACGTGTCAACGTTGTCTTCAGTTGCAAAACCCACTCATTTAAAAGAAGTCACCAAAAATATAAGTTTATGTTCTGTTGCATTTATTTAATTATAACGTTGGAAGTAAAACTGTCTTACCAGTGCCCTTTGACAAGCAGCCTAAGGTGTAAGTTAAGACAATGACAAGTTCGCTGTGACGATCACAAATAGTAATCTTAGCCATGTGGAGTTAACTCATAACTTATAGTATAACTACTCTAACATTTGGTGTAACTTAGCTAGAAGTGTCATAATAATGATACAGGAGCATGACACGTTTCTACACTCCATTAAATTCTTGAGAAACCTCCAGTCAGAGGTAGCCCAACAAAAATTCCCCACAGATAATTCAGCCTAGGAGCTGTCAAACTAGCTTAGCCGGCTAGCCTAGAGGGCGAAAGCTACCTAACGAGCGGGCTACACGACTAGCTCGTTAGCTAAGTGAATTAGCTTGCACTGCCGGCAAAAGCGCACAAACTACATTCTTAGTGATATTACTGAAAATATTATCGCACACTAATCAGCGACCAGGCAAGATAACCGTGACAAAGAAGGGATAGGCCTACTCATAATTAAGACAAACAGTATTTGTCAAAGTCAGCTAACTAACACGCTAGTAGCATACATGCTAGCTAACTTGTTGGAGCGATATGACGTCAAAGTTTTGGATACGTGTCTCTTTCAAACAGGTAAATTATAGGCACAAATAACACAAAACAGGTATAATATAGCTGGGAGATACTCACGCTTTGTCAACCAACTCCCTAACCTTCCACATGTTCAGCATCTTGGCGCTGTGAAAACGGGCTTTCTGCCTCGGCAAACTCTTTACTCCAGACAAACACCGAATCCAAACCTTGAACTCTGTAAAGTAAACTCTTCTTCACCTCCCTTTCAACACAGGAGGCGCAAACGCACCACCAAGCACACACGATAGGTTATTATGAGTACTGCCCCTTTAACGTCATCAAAGTTGCGTAAAGCAGCATTGGAGTTGTAGTTTCTGCTCAGGCGCCACCACTTACCACATTGTAAGTAGCCCACAGTACATTAACATTTGTCATGTGGATGAAGAAACAGCGGTCAACATGTTACACAGTTGTAAGAGACTGTGTGGAAATGAAAAACAAAGCATTATGCATTACTCTGTTGTTCATAAGCATGCTGATTATTCATGAAGCAACAAAAAGATATGACTGTTAGATCAGTCTGGCCCATATATCATCTAACAGGCTATTGTTTTATTGCAGGTAGCCAATAGCCTAGGCCTATATCTAAAAATTATTGAACTATAAACAGATACTGTATGTTAGAGGTAGTTTGGAAGCAGTAATGACATTAGTGTGTCCTTCAACGCACACTGACAAGTTTTAAAGTATAAGCCACCTCCTTTAAAGGAAATTAATGGATCCTTAACAAAAATGTGTGCTGTGTTTATATACAAAAAAGCTCATATGAGCTGATATATTGTGATCAGATTTTTTTTTCTTCAATATCTGTAAACTGTTTGCCTTAAAAAATAGCAGTTGGACCATTTACTATCCTAGTCCACCATTTTTACAACAATTGTCTTTCAATTTCTTGATTCAACTTTGCTTTTGAAGTTACAGTTCTTTGGCTTTCACATCCCACTGCACCATGTGCCATCATAAAACCCACCCTAGTTTTCCAAATGTTTCCCAGCTTCCCCAAAACTATGGCCTAAATCACAGTCTGCAGGTCACTACCCTGTGTGTTCTCCATCCCTCCTAGTCCTGCATTCAGGCATGCTACAATGACCTGTGATGCTCTGTGACAGCACTGGCTGTTTGTGTCAATCCAGATCAATCACTCCCTCTTCTGGATAGACAACGTCATCAAAGCGCAAAAAGGTCACAGGGTGTACTCAAGCCTGGCTAGATGTGACACGTATGGCGGTCAGCTTAGCAAGCGAACCATCTTGACTGACTGAGCGTCATTGTAAATTTAAAGACGGTCATCTTATGAGTAAGATAAACTGATGTTCTGTGGTTGTTCTGTTTTATTTAATTATTTAATTTTGGAAAGGAACTGTTAAATGACTGGCAGAAGTCATTTTATATGCCTTTAAATTTTTATTTATTTCTGCTTTGGTAACTAAATAGAGCATATTCACAGGTAACTGTATTTGTCATAGTGATTGATAGTCCAGTGAGCAAGAAAAGCCCTCAGATGCCTTACATCCAACAGGGTTTCTAATCTCTAATGATAAGTGTAAATATGGCCCACTGCTTAGACCTCTATAGGAGAGCAGGAAGGAACAACACAATAGCCAAAATGCAACCCATTTGAGGAAAAACAACAACAACAAGAAACAGCACTTAGCGGCCCAGAATGCACTGCACCCAAGGGAGCAACCTCAATTACTGTTGCACATCTGAAGAGGAGAACTCTAGGAGAAGTGATTGCTGAGATGGAAATGGTTCTGTGTGTGTTTGCGCATGTGTGAGTGTGTGTTTGAGTTGGATGAGGATGATAGAAAGGCACTCGGTAAAAAGATCTTTCAGAAACACTTTGCCTCAGTGACGTTGACTCGAGCTGTTGATTGACAAGCGCTTCTCGACAGAAACCAGAGCTATCAACCTATCTGCCATGCATTAAGAATGGCATGGTCCTCGGGGAGGGGCCTAAGTGGTAAATGATGTTGCTCAAGACACTCTCTGTCAACAGTGTGTGTGTATTTGTGAGTGTGTGAGTGCTGAAGATGGCAAAGTTTTCAATTAAAGGTTTGATTTTAAAGTGCTTGTGTCCTAACATCAGAATTCTCTACACTGATATATAGGATACATGTGTGTGTTTGTTTCAAATACAGTATAGTGCTACACAGTCTGGGGAAAAATGAGCAGGCAAAGGGTTCATTGGCAGAAATCTGATCTCAAATAGCATTTATGCAATAAAACTGTGCTGTCAAAGCAAGGGTTGGAATCTTTTCTTGAGCATTTTAGAAGCAGAAATATTCTTTGTTTCTTGTAGACTCATATTCTGTCTTTGGCCATGGAAAACAAATATCAGCCTTTTCTTGATATTTCATATTTGATAGTGCCATTCCATTCATCGTCTTGCTCTTCAGATGATCATCAGTTCGGTCAACTGAAACCAAGTTATCACTAACAACTTTTGGGTAGCAGGAGATGAAATGGCACATATGATGTAATTGTAATACAAGTAGCACTAGGGGGCACTCTGACTTTTCTTGTACTGGAGACTGCTGACTGTGGCACAGGGGTGAGTGTGCTCAACATCTGTACACATGTGTGTCAATCAGTGTGACCACTGGGGGTCGAGGCCACGTATTTACATGGCTGTTTCAAGTTCCCGTGACAAATGTGGTCAGAATATTATCTCAATTTGGGAATGTGCGCAAAACAAGACAACGCTTCTATATTAACGCTATTTTTCTTTCTCTACAAACATATGCTTCCAATCTCTTGAAACACTGCTTTTTTCTTTGCAGTTTTACGATGCCATTACAAAACAATGTTCTTTGTTTTGCACATTAGCTATGAATTAACAATCCCGCCTATCTTTGTCCCCACAGAAGAGGTTATGATCTGTGGAGTTACTTGCTGGGGCCCAGCTTCCCTCCTGTCAAAGTAAGGTTTTTTTGTTTTCACTTCTGTTATATTTCAGACTGTTTTTGTTGGCTCTCCTGCAGCTCCGGTAAGATCTTTAGTCCTTTTCCCAAGCGATATAACCCCTACACACATCACACAGTATCTGACCCCTGTCTCCATGACACATGACAGGTCCACTGTGTGTGGGCATGTGAGCATAAACGTATGTGTGTGTGTGCATGTGTGTTTGTATACTTTCAAGTAAATGTGTGGTAAATAGCCTATGTGTGCACCACGTTGATGTATGTATGCAAGTGTACAAAGCATATCTGGCACAGTATCTACTGAATATGCTAAAACAGGGAGGCCACTTGTCATATGTTCAAAGCTGCACAGACAACCTGCTGTGATCTCAAACCACACACCCAGATGTTTCTAATGGAGCTAAAGTAGCATTCACATTCCTGTGGATAACCAGTCTGTTTATTTTTCTCTCTAAACTGGACTGGATTGCAACTTTCCCTGTGTGAGAAAAAGGATGGAAGATAATAAAAAATGTGGGGAGGCAGATGAGAGAGGCTCCTGCCACAGATTGGACCTCCAAAGCCAAATGGCAGCACCACTAAACCAGCAAACCCCCGCACAGCTTGGACCTCCAAAGCCAAATGTCAGCACGACTAAACCAGCAAACCCCAGCAGCTGATGCCAGTGTGCGATCCTAATGCCACTGTTGTCTTATTCCCCTACATGAGGAAATGAGCTTGGTGTAATTGCACAGGCTTATGTTTATGAGTCAGGGTGTTACTTTCAATCATGTTGCTTTGTACATGGGCAAGAGAACATGCACATACACACAGAGAAACCCACACAGGTATGCTCAGGTCCTGAGAGCATCTGCTCCTTTACAACCAGACTGAATTAGCAATTACAGAGAGTAAAAACCAGAACAAAACATCTGGAGCTGTAAGCAGCAGAGGTTATAAATCTGAGAGGTGGGTGGGTGGCTGGGGGGGTGGTGGGGTGCTGTGAAAATGAGCCAAAGTGAGATTCTCAAGGACAGTGTCTCTGATTGGCCCATTAACATGCCAGGGGTGTCAAAAAGGACCCGAGGCAATAGGAGAAATGGGACAGAGCAGAGGGCTTTAGAGGGCATATGAAACACTAGTGAATGGAGAGGTAGAGCACACAGGAGAGGGCTGCTGAGATATTGTAGAGGATTGACATGTAGGATTAGTAAAGATAATATGGCTGAAGAGATGCACAGATGTTGTTTGTGTCTTGAACCTTGTCACCGGAAATTTCCCCGATAAGCAGAAAAAAAAAACTGTGGAAAAGCTGAGGGAATGTTGAAAAAATAGATGGGGGGTGGAAAAAGACTTGGAGCTGTGTGGGTGCAACAATTAAGAAACATAGGCTGAAGATCATCACTTTGCCAAACTATAATTATACATGTTTGGACACACACACAGAAAACGCCTTAAGTACTTATTAAGTAAACATGAGGCAAGGTGTTCATAAATACTGTACATCTTAACAATTATATTCAGTTTGGTTTAAATCCACATAAATGTAAGGTTGGAACGCTGCAGTGCCATTACCACATCTGTTTTTGCTATTACTGGCACAATAAATTACATAGGCAATTTGTTTGCACTGTTGTTAGAGTAATAGAATCAAATTATCCCATGTTAGGGAAATAATTATGTATGAAGCGGAACCTATCAGGGATTCACAAGGCAGTCAGTGAAGTAAGACATAGCTGAAATGTTGGCTTTCTGCAACTGTTCCAGGTCAACTAAGAACTTCTCAACCTTGGCTAGGCAAAAATAGCACCTAGTTCACACAAAATTAGACTGTTGCAGCCATTAATCTGGTGAAGTTAAGAGTGCTACATCACTGCACACCACAGTGCCTGTAGCAGTACATCTCCAGTGTAGCATCAATCCAGTGGAGCTGTATGAATACACATGGCATGAGACGGGATAATTGAAAGAGCCTGACACAAGCAAAATGAGAAGTGTTCTGAATGAAGGACAATATCAAATGATTCTTATCAATTAAAAGCCATGGAGCAGTGTTTACATTCCCATTCCAAGACCAGACACTGGGTATATGTTTCAAATAGGTCAAGGTTGAAATGAAAACAAAAGTTAGTTGATTAGCAGTTGAGGTGCAACATTCCTAATTTGTATGCTAATCTGGTAGATCATCATATCGTGTAGGCACTGCCTGCGATTCTACATCTGCACGCACTCATTTAATTATCCAAACACAATTCACAAAAGTCACTGGAAACAAACCAGACCAAAATAAAATAATTTGCATATATTTAAAAGAGCAGATAAAGTC